CTGTGCTGGGCGGGGGGCCAAGGGGTTGTTGCACCCTGCGGGTACCGCCGGCTCCGACCCCGCGTCGGACCCCGAGATGTCCCTCGTGGTGAGGTCACGCCGGGTCCCTCTCCCCACCCGGGCCTGGCTGGGGGTGCCGGGCAGGTCCCCCGGGCTGGGGCTGCAGCCTGTGAGGTACTTGCAGGCGTGCGGGGCTCTCGACATGCACCAGCGGAGGGCTCAGGCTGGCGTGAGAGGCTAACCTGAAAGCTTGCTTTAAAAAACAGAAACCCAACTATGTCCTTAGCCCAACACGGCTACACCCTACACCCTGTGGCAGGTGCTTGCAGGTGGTGGGGGGCTCCTGACACTTACCCGGAGTGGCGGGGAGAGGGCTCAGGCTGGAGCTAGACCGGCAGAGCCTGGGCTGGGCCTGGAGCTCGGAGCCGAGGACGCGGGGCAGCAGGGCTCCTGGCGGGACCTGGGTTTCTCTAGACCCCTCTGCCGGGATAAGGCTGAAGTTGGTTGCTGATTCCCAGTCCCCCAGTGGCACGAAGCCATGGTCTGGGGTGGCCCAAGAAGGATTTCTAGCTATAATCCCAGCCCAAAATCCAGTCCCTTGCTCAGGTCCATGACTATAGCGCAGGGGTTGGGAGGGTGGTCTCAGTTGCCAGCCTGGCACGGCTCTGGTCAGAGACGTCTAGGACAGTCCCCCAGTGCCAGAGCAGTATGGCATGGGGCAGGCAGTCCCCCGGTGCCACAGAGGCATGGTGTGGGGTGGCCCAAGAAGTATTTCTATCTGAAACCCCAGCCCGAAAGCCAGATCCTTGTTCAAGCCATTATACTTAATATAGCGGCATGGGGGCTTAGTTGGCAGCCTGGCACGGCCAAACCGTGCTTTGGGCCAGGCGGGACTGTGATCACAGGTCTTTGGGACAGTCCCCCAGTGGCATCACCAGAAAAATTGGGGTGGCCCAAGAAGTATTATTCCCCATAATCCCATCCTAATCTGACCTTCATTTAGGGCTCTGTACTTGATGTGGGATACTGTTTTACGTGTTAATGAGTACATATGCGTAGCTGATGAAATTCTCTCTCTTTAGGATGTGTAGTTCATTAATAACAAGTTTTTATTGAGTCTAGATGAGCTTTGAAAAAGGAACCGGGAACCAGGAATAAGGAATTGGGAATAAACAACCAACTTCAGCCTCATCCAGGCTCCCCCGTGCTTGGAGCCGTAGCGCGGCCTTGGGGAAGGAGTCAGGAGCACGGGGCTGCGTGTCCGTGGCCTCCAGGGGTAGACGCACGTGCTGGCAGGGTGCAAATGGTCTTTTATCCCTTGCTGTCATTAGAGGATCGACCTCCACTTGTGCCGCCACCTGAATCACAGAGACATAGACCATGAGGGCTGCGGTTCCCGTCTAGCCCCCCCCCCGGCTCCAAGCAGGCCCAGCCCCAACTATCTCCTCCCAGGCAAGGCTTCATCCACCCAGGCCATAAACCCTTCCCGGGATGGAGACTGCAGCCCCTCTCTGGGGAGCCTGGTCCAGGGCTTTGCTCAGTCGGCTCCGCTTGCCCGCAGGCTCCCGTGACTCGGGTGAGCGTGGTGGTCTCGGTGCAGGACGGCACTGCTGAGCACCGGACTGCCCGGCCTGTGACTGCAGTGAGTAACTGCCAGCCTCCCCTTGGGAGTCAGAGATGTCCTGTGATGGGGCGTCTCCCTCGGCCCGACGTGGGCACGTTCAAGTTCAACACTTGGGTGTTGCAGGATCCGGCCTGGGGAAGGATGCTGGTTTTGCCTGTGCCCGGCCTGGGCAGTGCTCATGGCGCTGCAGGGGCGGTCTGGCAGTGCTGGCCAGCTCACGGGAAGTCGATGCTGCGCCGGGCTCTGCGCTCCCTGGTGCCCCAAGCGAGAGGGGAATTCCTCTGTGGGCGAGGCAGGTGCCTGCAGGGGTCCCCGCGGCTCTGGCTCACCTGCCACGAGCACGTCCCCTGGGCTCGGTGCTCGGGGGAGTGCTGCAGGGAAACAGGAACAAGTTTCCCAGTCACATCTGCATCCTCCCTGTAAGAGAGCCTGAGCACACCAGTCCGGGGGTCTGGAGCCTCCTGCCTGGTGAGGGGGCTGCTGTGGGTAGTGCGAGGCCCTGAGGTGCCCAGAGGGCAGGGGGCGTTGGTGGGCTGTGGAGCAGCACGCAGGGCTGTGGAGCACCTGCTCCCATTGCACGGCAGCTGCCGGGGCCCTGAGACCTCTTTGAATGCAGGGACCAGCACCAGGCTGGCACAGGGTGGTGAGTCCTGGTGGGGTCCTCCCTCCAGCTCCCTGTCCCCTGGGCAGGGGCAAACTAGAGTCACCCAGGTGTGCAGTGGCCTGGGGCTGGCCATGTCCTAGCCAGAGACTTCAGCCAACATCTGGCCACTGGGCCAAGAAGGGAACCTGGCTGCATGGGAACAAGCTGGGGAGTTAGTGGGAATGGAGCTGCTCTTGCACCCATGTGCCACGTCACGCACCAGCCTTGCAGCTCACGAGGCAAAGTGGGGGCTCTGAGCACAGTCTATACTGCATGTCAGGGAGCTGAGACCAACCTGTCACCTGCAGCCCTGTGCTGCGTTTCTCCATGGCCTGCTCCAGGGCCACGTGCTGCACGCGGCAGATGTACTGGGCGCCCTGGTCTCTCTGCACCGATGGGGTGAAGATCAGTCTTGTTTCCTGCTGGAAACTCTTCCCATCCGGCGCCTGCACGGCCGTGCCCGGTTGGATCCTGTAGTCATCTGAGTCCGCCAGGGGCACGGCTGGAGCCTCTCCCTTGCCCTTCCGGAGCCAGGCCACCCTCAGCTCAGCTGGGAAATGCTCCGAAATGCAGCAGCTCAGGGTGACTCTGCTCCCCACGGGCACTGACTCCGGCTGGGAGATGTCCGACAGCGCCGGAGGCCGCAGGAGCCCTGGGGGAGGAAAGGCGCAGAGACGGGGGGCGGGAGCCGGGCCCTGGCAGAGGCTGCTTCCCCTCCCCTCGCACACGAGAGACCGAACCCCACAGCAGGGCTGGCGCCCCTGGGGTCTCCCCGGCTTGGGGTATTGCTCAGCCCTGATTGATCAGCATCTCCAGCGGGGAAATTTGGCAAGGAACAATATTCCCATTTCCCATTCGTGCCCTCAATGACCTGCAGAGGAGCAGTGATCCCTGGTCCACCCCTACTTAAGCCCCAGGGCAGCCCCTCCTCACCGGCGTCCCCCAGGCGCAGCTCTCTCTCCACCGGGGGGTCTCCGGGGCCGTGCTCCACTGACACTCGCACTCGCAGCTCCGGGCCGGTCAGGCTCCGGCTGGGCACTCTCCACACGCTCGTCACCGTGAAGGTGCCATCCGGGTTGGGGCTGATGTCACTGGGCTCAGACCTTTCCCAGCCTTTCCCGTCCTGGCTCCACTCAATGCGGTGGATCCCGCGGGGG